TATATATATATAATATGAATGAGCGCAAATATGTAAATAGCTATATTTACGTGTAATAACTGCTATAATAGATTTGGTAGGATATTATTATTATTATTATTATTTATCTGTAATAAATATCAATCCCAAATTTTCTATTGTAACAGATAATAAAAATTAACTCAAAAACAATTTACGATTTTAAGAATATGCGTTTACGTTCATATTCATTGTGACAATATAAAACAAAATTTTCAACTTTCAACTTTTTAAGTTAAATTTACTTCAATACATAATGTAAAAAAATACAAAACAAATAATACTTTCTATAATATATGAATTACTTTCAGATAACGAGTATTAGCGTACTTAATGTGTGTCAATTATGGTTAATAGAATCAYCATGTAATCAATGTGCGCGTGGTTAACTATTAATTAACTCGACGTCTCACTGCTATTACCGAATATGCACCATAGAAAAACTAACCACTGGTGGTCCAGAGTTTTAGATAGTAAATTTTTATGGGCGTTTTCGACTCGTTTAGCACCAATGAATGGGTCGTGAGTGTTCGTGACTAGAAACTTAAACAAAAACAATGATTTTTAATTTATTYCGGATCGAACCACGTGAACTTAACACAAATTAACACTTTTTTCTATTCACCCCGTCGAGAATTTATACATCTGCACGAATTTTACCAGCTGTGTGTGGGTGTAYCTGTAAACAATCCGAAATCAAGTTAATCGCACTCATGATCCTGGAATTTTTAACTCAGGTAATATACTCAAAGAAAATGCACTTGGAAGCAAATTATTAAATTTCGCTTTTTTAAAGAGTGACTTTTCCACAAAAACAAACATGTGTTTATTTGTGCATTATATGTTTACCATTTGTTTGAAACTAAAATAGTTATTATGATTAGATATAATTTTAGAACTGTATTTTATATTTCATCAAAAAGTCCCAAATAACTATGTAAAAAATCTGTGCATTTTACAATTAAAAGAATTTGAGAATATGGATAAATCCAGTACATTTAATTTRCTACGGACAACATCGTGCAGGAACATCTAGTATGAATAACTCATTAATAATTCTAGCTTTCGCATAAAGCCACCATCGTGATAACGGGTCGTTGACAATACTTTTTCATGTCGAACGATAACGAATTTCGCATGAAAGATAAAAATCACGCTTATTTGTTATTTTTATATGCATATGAGTATATGATGACTATTATACACTGTCTTATTTAGGTTAGTGAATAATATTAAAACATTGTAATAGCGAGTAATAAAGTAACCTGGAAAGTGTCTTACTACCCATTATTGGACTACCGTCCGACACATTATTGGCTTAAACTCTGACGATCG